GTAACTCACTTGCATACATATATATTTACCCACCGATTTAGTTACTTACCCTCCTTGCTTCTTTAATTTTTATTAGCATCCTCGCTTAATAATTGATATGCTAACATTAGTAAGTATATTTACTTACTGACTTACTTCTGTGCTTATTTGCTAACTTAGATGTTGACTCACTAATGTATCCACTTTGTACCTTATGATTTATTTATTTAAGTGCCTGTTTTGTTTTATTTACAAGTTGCGTTATTATGACATCTGAATGATTAATCGTGCATACTTTTAACGTCAGCAATTGTATTCAGAATGCTTTATCTTAATGGTTTGTTGGGCGAGGAGGAATTTCTGCATCTGCTCCTCTTCTTTCTCTGAAGATAAAATCTGACTGTTCTTTTTGACATCCATCTGTGCTGCACTTTTTTGATGATCCAGCAACTTTAAATAGATTTGGCTAGAAATTGATGAATAAATGACCTTTAATGGGAAGGGAATTAAGCTTCCATTTTCATAAATACCGTAACATCTCTCAAACCAACACTTCATGAAACTTTTCTGAGATGTGAAGTACTTCACAGATGTGAAAGCGCGCATGCCCAGAAAGAACGGCTTCAAGATTTAAGCTACGCATGCGCGGGAAGACAAAAACAGTCGTGGATGTCATTGTGCTACTTTACATGTTCAGTTTTGCACATTTCTGATAATGAATACATGTGTTACATGAGCACTCCGTTCATGGGAGACGAAGAATGGTTACCGTTTACTATGAAGCTAATATGAAAGCTAAGCTAACCTTCAAAAGCGCGTGGGGGTTCGATGACGATCTAAAATCACAGCGCCATTTAGTGGCCTGGCGTGACAACTACAGCTAACCAGCGGTCTCTCTCTCTCTCTCTCTCTCTCTCTCTCTCTCTCTCTTTCTCTCTCTCTTTTTTTTTTTTTTTTTTAAATTAATTATACAATGAATCGTTGAAGTACAGGGTAGGGGGAAAAGAAACCATGATGGGTTTAAGACTGTATAAGACAAGCACATAACAGTAAGGCAAATAATGGCTGTTTTTTTTTTTTGTTTGTTTTGTTTTTGCATATACAGATTTCAAATATTTCAGTGAGGAGTAATAAAGTCTAAAACTGATTTTAAAAAATCAAAACAAGTGGTAGAACCTCTCCAGCTATAGCAGCATATAGTAATTTTAGCAAGCAAGAAAACAATGTTTACCACATCAGATATTTGCTATGAAGGTCGTGTATAGTATATGAGTGATGGTAACATCCAGGACGTCCTCAGTTTTCAGTGACAACCAGTTCTTAATGTCTCTCCTGAGTTTACATGAGAAGGGACAGGAAACAAAGAGAGTGCTTATAGGCACAAATTTAAATCTTTTATGCGAAAAATAAATCTGATCTCTTCTAGATGTAAGTTTTCCATTTTGTGTGAACATCTGTAAAAATCACACCATCAAAAATGAAGAAAGGGAAAGTTAGTAGTTAATGTTTGAAATAAAAACGATCATTCACAGTGAGGCTGGCTCACCTGGTCGTTCCTCCTTGTTTTCTGGGCCTGTGCTGTGCAGGAAGCCGTGGAGTCGTGCTTGACCCGCATCACCAAGCTGGAGCTGCAGCAGCAGCAGCAGCAGGTGGTTCAGCTGGAGGGAGTGGAGAACGCCAACGCCCGGGCTCTCCTGGGGAAGCTCATCAACGTCATCCTGGCTCTCATGGCCGTGCTCCTGGTCTTCGTCTCCACTTTGGCCAACTTCATCACCCCGCTGATGAAGACCCGGGCGCGCGTGGCCGCCACCGTCCTGCTGGCCTTGCTGCTGTTCATCCTGTGGAAGCAGTGGGATTTTGTGGAGTTGTGGTTGTTGCCCAGCTAAAACCTGGATTTAAAGGAAGGACGAGAGCCAGGAGACACAAAGAAGCTTCATCAGAAGGAGCCGGAGAGAAACTTATTGGGCTTGGTACATTTGAGGTAGAACTTTACGGCTCTCCAGTTAAATAAAGACAGCACCTCGCTCCATTCAAATATTCAGGTGTGGATGACAGACCATTAATCCCATTGCTATCACCAAAAAAAGTGAGTTTCCTGTAAGAAATCTGATTTTCTAACCATTTAAGAGACACAGAGGATCGACTTGCGCTGACTGTAAATCTTCATGTTGAAGCTGCAGCATATGTTTGAAACCAAGATGTTTTTTTCCATGAATGTTACGTGCTCTCATGCATGTTCTCATATGTGCACTCTGATGCATCCAGCTGGCATGAGTTAGCATCTCATCAATGACGAATAAATGTCTTTTCTGCCAGTTCTGTTGTCGGAAACAAAAGTGCAGATATGTCGTTTCTCCACTCAGTCATTCTCGTGTTTTTCTTTCACATCCTGTTCTGGTGTTACTGCAGTGCTATTGGGCTTTTTTTTTTTTTCGATGAAGGCGGGGAGGGTTACAGCTGAACCTGCTAAAACTCACAACGCTGAATGAAATAATTGATTCTGTACACAAATACTAACAGTGTAGACCTACAGCTACCCACGGTGTCAAATTACCTGGCATGTCAACGTTTATATCCAGTTTGCAAAAACAAATATTGCTGTTTTATTAAACGATTAATAAAATGATTTCATATATGAGACTATGCTTGATACATTTTTACGGTACAAAGAGATGTTTAAGCTGAAACTAATGGCTTTTTTTTTTGTTTGTTTTTGACAAATCTACCATTAAGCTCAAATAGCCACTCACCCAGTCCAGATGCAGAGGATCTCTGAACCAAACCCATGATGTGCATCTTTAGTGCAAAACTTAAATACATGAAACACTGACAAAAATCTTTAGTTTTTACAATAAATCTGATTATACTTCTTTGACAGCAAACCAGTCAGACTGACGATAATCTTAAAATCCCAAAATCATGTCCTGTTTTTACAAATCGTGTCTCTGTTCCTGATGCTCCAGCAATGTTTTGCACAGGATTAAGTAATGGTGAAAGTGGGGGAGAAAAAAAAAGAAGCAAGTTCACCCACCTTTAACTTTTGCATGAGGATAAAATAAAAATCTTCTGGTCTTTCTGATGTTGAACAAACTCGAAGTGCATCAAAAGGTCATTTTGTTGATGCATTTATATACTGATCTTAGTTTTGACGAGAAAAAGATCAGATTTCTCAGCGTTTGACTGAATTTGTTTACAGATTAGAACTTCACTGGTGTGCAGATCAGGCGTGTCAACCTTTCCATGCGTCTTTAGTCCTGTGCACCTGCATTGGACGGCCGAATTATCTCCTCAGCAAGCAGTCAGGAGTCCTGCTGATGACCTACTTGTGTGATTCAGATATGTCGAAAGCACAAACATCACCCGGGTTTAAACCATCAACTCTGCTAAAAACAAGAAGAAAGGGGGAAAATAAAAACATTCAGATGTGTTTGTCGTCTTTTTAATAATTACTGTCAGGCAAAACCCTTACGAACAATACATTTATGACAGGTATTCTTACAGTACAAGACAGAACTCAAGGAGATCAGAGCCAGTGGCATGGCCACAACTGACCGCTATCAAGTAAGACATTCATCGTCATTTAGATTGTTCCAACTTTCACAGAGTTCACAAATGTGTTTTGCATTTGACTCGTATCAAACAACAGTTTTCTTGATTACCTAGCAAATTCTAAAGACCTCGATAGAAACAGCAGAGTAGAAAAAAAAGCAAAAAAAAACAAAAACAAACAAAGAACAAAACCTTGGATAATAAGCAGAGGAATTCCTGATTTTATTTCAACTTCCTGTTAAGATGAACGATGTACAATATATTGCTTTCAGGTGCACGACTTTAAAACGGGTATATCTCCCCAGAAAAACATTCTTCAGATTCACCTTCCTCTGCCGTTTTTTTTTTTCTTTTATTATTTGTTTCTCGTCTGCCAGCAGGTTAGACAGAGGTGCAGCGGTCAAACCGTTAAACCGCAGGAGGAGCTGCTTCTTAAAGGAATAAATGAGCCAAACGTACAGTAGGACCAGCAGCCCCTCCAGAGAATTGCAGCTTCCCTTCATTCATCATCATTCGTTGGAAACTCAGTTTATTCGCCTCTTTTCATGGAGTTAAAACAGAAAGAAAAAAAAAAACTATTCATGTTCTCAGAGTCTTGAGATTAAGACACAGTATCCAGTCACAGCGAACATTGGAGGAGAGGAAGGAAAAAAAAAAAGAGAAATACAAATGACACACGGTGAGTATTAAAAGCTTCATATTTGATATTACACAATAATTAAAAAAGTCGAACATGAGGCAGCACGAAGTTTGGACTGGTCGCATATTTAGTGCTCAGACATCAAACGTGTAACACTAAAATATGAAAACAAAAGAAGCGTTTCAAGCTCCAGAATCCGTGTTGCCCGTGAATGTAAAATGCTGTCTCAGTGGAGCGTCTGGGCGTTTCCAGCCTGATTGTGGTGTAAAAACATGGACACACGTGTTGGTGTTCAGCAGGACAGGACCTGCCCCCACAGTCTTCAGGCCATGAAGTAAAAAGTTTGTCCTGCAGGCCGAAAAACCTGCAGCCTCATTTATGAAAAGGTCTCTCCCTCTAACAGACATTATCCTGCCCTCTAAACATTAATAAAGTTTGCCTACTATTAGACATGGCAAAAGTTACCCACCTCCTCCACCGGTCTCATCTCCAACCACAGACGCATCTCCACAAATTAGAACGTGAAAAGGTTGAATTTAGTCAGTAATTCAATGCAAAACTCGCACCGTACGCAGATACATTGCATGGAGCGACATATTCCACGCATTTATTCTAGTTAATTTGATGCAGTTAATGAAAACCCAAAATGCAGTTTCTCAGAACTTTAAAATATTACGCAAGACGAATAAAATAAAAAAAATGCAAATGTGATTTTATGGATGATTATCCAGTGGACCGTAGAGGCGGGCGATGTAGAGTTAAAGTTTTATCATGATACTATCATAATAACAATAAAAGTAACAATAAAAACTATTTATTACTTCTTCTTTAGGTTATTGTATAAACTGCAACTGCATGACATGGCAGTCAGAGCTCCAAAATACAAACACTGCTCTTTTAAAACATTGAATGAAGAAGTCGGATTAGAGTTGCTAAACTGTGCACAGTAACTGCGTTTAAATGCATTTTCATTCTTTTGATAGTTATTGATACTTTCATTGAACAAACTGTGGAAGAGAAGTAAAGCTAACAATTCTAACAGTATGGACAGTTTTTTTCTTCAAACATCAATTGGAAATTATTGTGACGATGAGAAATTTATCATGATCAACATGATAACAGCCCACCTGCAGCAAACAGTCATAGAAGTTTCCCATTATTACAATCGGCCTCCTGTCACCTGAAGAATGTTTCCAGGATTAAAAGACTAACCTCCCAACACGATAAAAAGACACTCTTCCATGGATTTAACTTTAGTTGCATTGATTATTACAACAGCGTGTTTACGGGTTGCAGCGGATCCAGAACGCTGCTGCTCGCGTTCTGACTAAAACCAGGAAGATGGAGAAAATCACCCCACACCTAAACTCCAGTAGCTCAGAGAACAGACTTTAAAGTACTGTTAGTTTATAAACCACTGAAAGTCTTAGCACCAAAATACCTTACAGTTCTGATCTGCTCTGCATCAACAGAACCAGAACCAAACATGGCGAAGCAGCATTCAGCCTCTACGAACATCCAGAAAACTGCAAAAAAAACACTGAGTTCCTTTAAATCAAGATTAGAAAACAACCTGCTTAGTGTTTATAATCAGTGGTACATGGATTAATTCTGCTCTGGATTACAAGTTTATTATTTTTAGTTTGCCAATGTAAAGTTTCTTCTTTGTGTTTTTTTTTATCATGTAATGCATTCATGAACTGCCTTGCTCCTTAAATACACCATGTAAATAAACTTGACTTAACTGATCTTATGTAATATAATCTTTTTTTTGAGAAACTAATTTTAGGTTTCAAAACAGCTTTAATTCAAATGAACTGAATATCACTCTGTAATGAATCTAAATATGACAAGAGTTTCATCCCTTTGCATTGAACTACTGACAGAAACGAACTTTCCCATGATAAGTTGCTGACATGCGTCCGTACGGTCGGCTTCCCCTTTGCCCTCGTTACCGTCTCGTTTGGCAAACCCTTTCAAAGTGACATCAGGGAAAGCTTCAGACACCGTCGCCTCAAATGCAGCCCTCAGTACAAGTCACAGCGAGAGAGGTACCTAGGCAGACCTCTGGGTGTAGAAGAGAATATAGGCCTGAGTGTTGCACACTTCCTCCACGCTGCAAACCTTCATCTCAGAGTCGTTACAGTGGACCCAGAAACCTGAAGAACACAAGACAAAAAGGTAAACGGCGACCCCGACGGGACGGGACACGAGGACGAGCGTTTCCTCACCTCCTTCTGTGTTGTAGCAGTATGCGGTGTAGTGCCCTGAGCCGAAGCCTTTACCATGATGCATGACCACAGCCGACAGATCGTAGGTGTAGCCTCCTCTGTGGACAGAGTGACCCGAGTCTGTGCAGCAGTACGGTTTGATGTTCAGAACCTGGTCAAAGGCCACATGGACGCCGATTTTCTCCCTGTGGTTCCGGCCCGACCATCTGCCACAGGGAAGATTTGGCATTAAAAACAAGACGCAGACACAGAAACAACCACAGAGCAACGTGGGTAGTTTTTTTTAAAAAAGAGGTTAATCAGACAGGAAGGAAAGGCGGCAGAGAAACTTGCCTGAAACGTTTGAGGTGCAGCCGTAAAACCTGAGGTAAGCGGTAGATCAGAAGCTGCTTACGTGCTTCTGACAGAACTAAGGGTTTGTGGGATGATTTTCTTCTTCTTTCTGAAACCAGGAGAGAGAATTAAAAGTTATTCCACAAAATAATAATGAAAGAATGCACATTATTAAATCTGCAACTTCATTCTTTTAAGAACTACTTTACTGTGTCCAGCAATTTATTTTACATCACTTCAACAAAAGACCAGTTCCTCTATGGTTTGTGTTCTTAGTTAGGAGAACAACAATCTGCACTTAGAAGTTATTTTACTTTGTTCAGATGTTTTAAATTAAATTTTCTCAAACTTCAGAGCAACAGGCATTTGCATTATTCAAATGAAATAAACAGAAATGGTTAAAGTGCACATAAAGGAGCTACAGTGACCTGTGTTCACACCCACTGAGCCTTCTCACATTTACTCACAGTACAACCACAAACCACAATGTATTTCTCTTTTGACTGACTGAACACAAACTAAGAAAAATTTAAAATTATATACCGTTTTCAAATATATTACAAAGCAAATCTGAAAAGTGATGTCTTTATACAATAATCTGATTGATTTTGTTGCATAAACCTGCAAAACGAAACAGTTTTGATCTTGATTCTAAATGCCAAGTCTGTTCTGTACCCAGATGTCCAGCACTTTGCTTGAAAGCACTTTATTAATAAAATAGTTATAATTAATGGTTTAAAAGTTGTAAGTTTCAGACATAAGCAGGTATCCCCCTCCATCCCAGTCAACCAATAAAACTCTAACCAAAATGGAAAATCTGTCTTCAAATGAAGAAAAAAAAGCAATCACCCTGAGCAGCGGTCCTGTTCTGTACCAATTATGTTCGAGTGTCATTAATCAACTGCAGCTCTTAGTTTCCAGTGAGTGCCGTCTCCCCTCCTTAACGCCACACACACTCCCTGCCAGGCAAGTTTAGTTTACATCAAATCAACCAAACGCAGAAGAAAAAGAGCCTTGATTTTCTTTTCTTTTCATACTAGATGCTGTCAGTCATGAAACGGTGCTGTCTGTCGGCAGACATTTTGTACCGACATGAATGAGTTCGTATCCACACTGGCGACGTTTACTAAACGCTTTGTCAACTACTGACTTTCTATAACTTGCTGAGTCTACTTTAAGGATTCTTGTGACGTTAGTAAACAGCTCTGGAAAAAATGAAGAGCCCTCTGCACTGAACCACATTGAAAACCTCCTGGTTTTTCCACCAAATGTTGATTTCTGAACTCTTCCTGAGTTAAAACATTTGTATTGTTGTTTCTAAATGAACATGAAGTTGTTTTCTTTGCATTGTTTGAGGTCAGAAAGCGCTGCATCTTTTGTTATTTTGACCAGTTCTCATTTTCTGGTAATAAATACTAAATTTTTGCTTAGAATTTCAGAGGCATGCTGTCAGTAGTTCATAGAATAAAATAACAATGTTCATTTTACTCAAACATATAAAGAGTGAATTCAGAGAAACTGATCATTTCAAGTGGCCTCTTAATTTTTTCCAGAGCTGTATAATCCATCCTTAACATTTGATTACCATTTATAATGGTCATGTTCCAGGAGAGTTAACCATTTACAACAGGAAGCAGAACCATAAAAATAATAGATTATTGAATTCCACAATTAATCCAAAATATTTTCCATCAAATAAATTTAACAAGAGAAGTAAGAGATACCGAATGGTTAAGTAGATGGGTCCAAAAATGAACTTCATCTTCATCTGGTTCAGATACTTGTTTGGGTATCAACAAGTATCCATTTAATCTGTTCAGGTCAAATACTTCATATAAGGAGGCAATTTAAACTTTTCTTTAACTTCGACACAGAACTGTCAACTAAAAACCTTTATAATTCTAGAAACCAGACAACGGTTTTTCTTTAACTTTCCCTTTTGCCTGTATGCTTCTGGACTCTTTCAAACTTGAAAAGAGGGAGCAATGTCTCATCTGGCCATGAGGCTTATTGTTTAATGGATAACCTTGGTAGATAATAATAATTTAAACATGAAAAATCCTTATTTTTCAGACTTTAAGTCGCTACTTTTTTCCCCACTTTGAGCCATGTGGCTTATAACCCGGTGGGGCTTTTCTGTGGATTTTCCTTCAACCACCAGGGGGCTCTTTAGCAGGAAGTAAATCATTGGAAGTCAAAATTGGAAACCGAAGAAGAAATTGCTGCTCTTCATTTAGAACAAGCACATGCTAGCAGCAGGTAGGACAGAGAAATGTTTTCAAATTCAAACCCCCTCATCATGGAAACAACATGAAGAAATTCATATGATGCCGCTTTAAGTTGAAGGTTATCGATCTGGTAAACTCGGCGTGAACGAATCTATGGTTCGGCGTTGGAGACGGAGGGCTGATTTATTAAGTGGAAAACCGAGAGCGGCAGAGATACCAGCGGCTTATATATGTACGTTTCCAGCTGTTTTTTTTTTTTAAGCTTTCTGGGTGCGGTTTATAGTGAGGTGCACAGGAAAATACGGTGTTTTCTTTTTATTTCTGTTGTGAAAGTTATCGAGTGAAAATGCAGCTTGTACTAACTGTTGCAGTGGTTGCAGGCGTAGATGTTGCCTTCAAGAGCCTCCATCTCTGTAAACTTGGACAGCATCTCTATGAGGGAGCAGCTGCGCTGGTAAGCGGTGGCGCCTGGGCCTTTGTTCCTGCTGTGATATCTCTCTGGAAACTCCAGCGATAAATCCCAGAACGGCTCCACTGTGTTGGACTTGTGCTTACAGGACAGACACGTCACCTAAAAGCAGGACAAGAGGAGGAAGGAGGAGATGTGGATAATAAAATCAGTCATGTAGCGTTTTAAATTCTTTGTTATATTCTGAATTTTCGTATTTAATCATGCAACTTCTGTTGTTAAATTCTGTTCGTATAAAGCACTTTGTTGAAGAGGACCGTATAAATAAGGTCTGACTGATACTTTTACTGTGGTGTCCAAATTAGAGATGCACAGAGAAACTGGCTGGTCTGAAACTCAAAAATCTGGTCTGAAGTGATTAATCAATCATTGAAATAATTGCAAACTAATTTAGTAAACCGATTAATCGCTAATTGAGTAAACAGACTCAGAAAAGGCCTTTAGCTGAAAGAACACCATGTTCCGAGCAGTATTAAACCAAAACTGTATTTAATAAATATTTTGCATTTCAGATACATTTAAAAAAAAACGTACATTAAAGGAAAAAGTTTCTGAATCTTAACATTTTTATTTTCTTATACGTAAAGGTAATTGAATTACTTATTTGCATCTTTTAATGAACTTGTAATATAAGAAAAAGGCTTTAGTGACTAAATGAAAAATTTGAAGAATGTGCCAATTTTTTATCCAACTAATCATCAGAATAATTGATAGATTAATCGACTGTCCTAATCTGAACACCCCATTACCAAACAGAGGAAGCTGCCGTGAACAACAACACTCTTCAGTGGTCGTTGTGACTAAGCGACCGTTTATACTACTAATAAAATGCGACCACAATCAGACTTATGTGTGAACAATTTACGACCCAAAGCGACCTGCATGCGCTGATGTCACAACTGTGTATTGTTCACAGAAGTTAACAATTAAAGCCGCCATCTTTGGATCAGTTCTAAATTTTGGAGCGATAGGAGCCAATGGCTAATAAAAATAAGCTAAAAAAAAGAAAGCATTAACTAGTAGCAGTGGCATTTTGTGGCGCATGCCTGCAGCTTCTGTATTATTTTCATAATAATCGTTGCTTGGTTCAGCCACATCCTGATTTACCATGTCTGGCTTCTTCTGGTGAAGAATTATGACACGTTTCTCCTGTCTGTGACGAAAAAGTCAGATACAATGTGACATGACCGCTCAGACTGCAGACGCCTTGAAAACAATGTGATTTAGCACCACACAGAAGTGGTACAGCTCTTTTTTTTTATTTTGGAGAGTTAAAAGATCAGAACTGGGCTGTATATGAAATAAGGGTCCAATATGAGCAAAAACAATAAATTAATTTTAAAAAATTGTCAAGTGCTAAAGGTGCCATTTAAATAGAAACTGTATTTTGCACATGTGAATATCTGTCTGGAGTTTGTCGAGGGTCCAACAGAGAGTCAAACTTTCAAAAAAAAAAAACTGTTGAAATGAGTAAAATCTTACTTTACAAAAACGATCTTTAAAAGTTTCCCTAAAACCAAGTAAAGCCCAAACAACACAGCTGACTGCTGAATAATTGGTAGCTGATGAGAGGCTGTGCAACCAATTAAAGAAAAATTACAATTTTAACGTGAAATGAATGACTGTCACAGAAAAAACAGCCATGGCTTTTAAGGTGAAGAAACAACCTGACCATCATTTGCTCTTCTCAGACTTTAGGGAAATGTTTCACTGTGTCAGAGGAAACAAAGTCTTTTATGTAAAGAAACAAGCAAAAATAACAAAAAGATGAGCTGCAACAAGAAAGAAATGTTTTTTTTTTTCTTGTTACAATAGAGCTGCACCAATAGATTGGAATTGGCCAGTTTTCAACTGATCAGTGACCTGGAAGTCAAATAGAGAAAAGTCTGCTCTCCCTGCCCCCCATTCATTAAATCAGGGCTGTCCACAGAGCGGCTGGGGGCCATTTTGTGACCCCTGGAATGACTTTGTGCATAATAACAATGATAAAAATTTGGCCTCCAGCACAGGTGATTGATATGGACTGAGATTTTAAATTAAGCCAGAATTAAATCTCATTACAATGGAAGATATTCCACACAACACACAGAATTGTTCTGTTAATGACCACACCCCTTGTGGTTATTACCATCTAAGTTTATACTAAATAAACTTTGCTGCAGCCACATTTCTTATTCATCAAACTTGGTTAAATACTCCTGGTATCTATAAAGTGACCAAATCATGTACCTACTGCTGAGACGATACTAAATTCTGTATTCATTTTTAGAAAATCTGGATTTATTTATTTTTTTACCTATGCACTCCTTGAGTTTCCAAAGTTCAGAGTGATGTCAGCATGTCTTATGCTTACCATGTTGTTCCACAGGAGTGTTTTACAGCTTCCTTTTATTTGGACTTTGAATGTAAGTCAATTTGATGGTAATTATGACTTTCATTACAAGAATAAAGTCGTAATATCAGGAAAATTAAGTAACTGTGAGAACTCCTACACAATAATTAAAATTAGGAGAACTGAGCATTTTATGACCTTACACTTCAGTATAAGTTACAGATAAGGAAATGCGTAATCTTTTAAACACACCTGCATCAAATTATTATCAGTAGTACAATTTTGAAACGGCCGTGCAAACAACTGTGTTTATTTAGAAGAAAGAATGACACGGACTGAACTGCTGAGATCAGATCTTCATAACCCTTTGGAAGCCTTTCCTCATCAAAACGACTTCTTCCTCACATTTTTAGCCTTGTTGTTTTTTTCTGATAAAATTGTGTCTTTATTCTGCCGATACGATGACTAGATTTTCATAACAAAGATCCTCATAGCCTGGCCCTAATGCTCCACCATACATCTCACAGAGAGGATGATGGAAATAAAAATCACTTTTTGGAAATATTTTCTGACATTTGCAATTTCTTTTTCAGAAAAGCAAGCAAGGAGAAATCAAAAATCGACTGAAATTTGATCAGGTATGACAAAAATCTGCGATTTTATTCAGTATCAAGTCTAAAAACAGTCTGACTGGAGCATTACTAATCGGTGCTGAACAGCTGGATTTGCTGCCATGCTGCCGGTCTCACCTGGCTGAGCAGCTGCCCGTGAAAGATGGTGTTCAGAACCTTCAGCACTTGCTTGGACAGCTTCCTCTTTGTGATGGGGATGACTATCCGCCGCTTGGACCCCTCCGTGTCCAGCTCCTGCTGCACCTTGTCCAGCAGCTCACACAGGAACTCCTGGGCGTCTTGCTGGTCGTAACCGCGGAACGCCGGGATGAGGTTCCACACGGAGTGCAGCATGGCGAAGGGAGAGACGAGAGTCCACCGGCCCGACCACATGACCCTGAATAGCGTATGCAACTCGTGACACAGAGACATTTGCTGGCGAGTCGAGCAGCGAGGCTCTTTGGGCTGGACCAGTTCTGCAGCCTGCGGGGATGGGGCGACGCTCTCCTTTTTGCCCACGGGCAAATTCCAACACCCCGCCTTCCCCATGCGTCCCAGAGGGTTCTCCGACAGTGGCGGCGTGGTGCCGCTGTTGACGACCGCTCCAGTCACCCCCTTCACGCCCTGGGAGTGGTTGGTCTTGGCCAGCAGCTCCTCAGTCTCACACAGGTCCAAAGTGAGAAAACACTCCCTGAATTTCTGCAGGTGGCTCAGCACTTGCAATATTGAGTTCATGTAGCACGTGTTTCCCAAGTTGCGCAGACCGGTGACACCTGGAGCGTGCCTCCTCCGCGTCACCGCGTGCGTGGAGTAGTACCTCCTCAACTTAGCGGCTCTGCTGATCTGTGGCGCCCTGCGGGGCAGGGCGAGGAGTGAAGGCTTCTTGGGAGGTGGAGGTAGGCGTTCTGGGGGATCGCGAAATTTGCGAGGAATGAGTGTCATGGTTGAACGTGGCGCCTGAGTCAGAAGCCTGGCACTCTTTCTGGGAGGAATGTTGCCGAGGTCTTCCAGGAGTTTCCTTTTCACCTCCTTCTTTTGTCTCCTGGCCTCCTCAAGTTTCTCCTTGCGCTGGTTCTGAACCTCTTGGTGTTTTCTAATCCACGTCTGAAGCATCTTTCCTAGGAGCGCTTTCCTCCTGTGGCGCAGGGCCAGCTGCATGGCAGGTTGCGGCCCACCTTCCAACACCCAGGGGCCGCAGTCCCCCCCGGTGGAGGAGCGCAGCGACCGCCTACCTGGGCTCCGGACGGTAGAGAGAGCGCCTCTGAGGAGCTTGAGGTCTCCCTCTGCGTTATCGTTCAGTACATAGTCTCCACAGGCGAAGCAGAAGACATCCAGCTCACGCACCTCCATGGCCAGTGGGTGTTGGGACTCCTGAAAGTGTTTGAGGAAGTGCTCCTCTATGAAGCGTCCACAGGCAACGTGGGAGCACTTGAGGCAGGCCCACACTGAATCCGTGGTGCTGCACTCCACACAGTGCCATTTCTGTGGATTGAGGATGGAATGGTCTTGGCCCAGACGAAGGCGAACCACGTGCTTACAGCGATCCATCTGTCCAGATGCACATGTGGCCTTAGTTATAGGACACACGTCCTGCAGCGAAGCAGCAACTCATTCTGATGGAAGATTCACAGAGGAAGAAAGAAAAGGTGCAGGTTTGTTAATGTAAAGATATGATTTCCTTGTAAAAGTAATCATACTACTAAGTCTGTAGAAGATAAGCAATAAATCAATTAATTGCTTGATTGATTGATCATTTCCATTTGCATGATCTAGTTTTTTCTGTCTCTTTCTTCCAAAAACTGGATCAGTCTTAACAAGTTTCAGTCTCAACAAGCTCCTTTTTTTCAGAGCAACTTTGCTTACAAAGACTACAGTAACCTTTTATTTATTTTGGGCATTTAAAATGTTAAATGTTTTTTAGGAATTCAAGTTTATTGAACTATGAGAGGGTGAACTCGCATTATTATGCCACTACCAGTGGCATAATACCTGAAATCGGTCTCAGAACAGCATTATCGTTTATTACAATAACTTCTACAACAACTTATGATGCCACTCAAACTTTTTCACAACTCTACATTGTTGAACAATCTTTCAGCTATCATCTTTTGGGGTAGGTTTATGCCTGCTCTGCATTTCCTCAGATTTTTATCCATTTTTTATTTTTAGAAAATAACTCAAACTCTGACAGATTAGCAGAATCTGTGGACAGCAACCATTGCATCACGCCACTCATTCTGATTTATGCCATAATTTTGACTGTCTAACATATGAATCCATTTTGATCCCGACTGTATTTTTGCAGTCACTGTCCTGCATGAAGGTGGACTGCGTGTTTGCTCATGTTGCAAACTGCAAACATAATAAATCTCTTCCAGCCACTCTTTCATAAACAGCAGAGCTGTAGAGTGAACCAGGGTGTTGTGCAAAGGCAAACACTTGGATAAGTATTGTTTTCATTGCTTTCTTTTAATGACACCAGTCACTCCATAGAACAATAGCTTGCTGCAATCAATGTAACCACCACTACTACCAGCAAAATATATTTAACAATTATTAAAGAAGTACTTGAATAAATGCTGGAACAGTTATAGTTAGCTGTAATCATCTGCTAAATGTTTTTTTTTTTTTTGCTGTAATTAATCTTTCTTGGCTTCTGGAAGAACGTTTCCAAAGCCTCTGAATACGAGAACTCAGATGTTTGGCCCATTTATGTCTACATTTATTTATTTCTATATCTGTATTTTTTTATCCGTCTCTCTCCATCTTTAAGTCTTTACCTACTGTATGTTTCTCTAATGATCATGTATTCATTTACTTACCAAGCTCAGTCCAATACTGTTGGGGGGAGTATTTCCCCTCCGACAGTCAAGCAGGATCACAACCTTTTATTCAATGACTGGATTTTTGTCAGGGGAAAGACAAAAATTTTGTGTTCTAGCACTTTCGCCAAATGTATCAGGAGTAGGAGAGCTACTCTTGCTGCTACTCACAGGAGTGCAAGTGCCGCCATCAAAATTATATAAATTGTGTTTAAAAAACCCACAAATATGCTTGTCTGTTTTGCGACATTTTCATCTTGCGACTCGGCGTCTGAGAGGAGTACAGAGCAAGTGTTTTTGACCAGGTTTTGTTAACTTTGGCGTTTCAAAAGAGAGCTGAAAGTAGACGAGCGTGATCTAATTTTGTTTATTTAGGCTAAAAAAATCAATAGCATTAATGGTAAACACATAATTACTAGGTACATGCCGTGTTCCTGTTGGGGACAGGGTGTAGAGGAAATGGTAAACTGGGATCTTGTTTTATAACCAAACCCCACAAAAAGCGTCTCCCCTACTTTATTCCTGACCCAGTTCAGTGCTCACACTGACCTCAGAGGGTCAGAACAGCAGAACAGCTGAGACTGAACATTTTCTGAAAACCCATCTGTAATTTTTGTATTCACGGATATGCTACACTGTGTTCATCTATGACACAAAATCCCAATAAAACACAGTCAGGTCTGCAAATGTGACCGGTAGAAAAGTTCAAAGGAGTTGAACCCTTGCAAAGCGCCGCAGACCACTGTCGCTTCCAATTAGCAAAGCTACTGAGCATACATATATAGAGAGAGGAAATGAAACGGGTTTACTAACTGTACAAGAAGTTCTCTTGATCAGATCTGTTGCGTCACATCATCTGAAATCAGCAACAAGCCTCAGGCCGATCGCTCACATCCACCGTCAGCACCAGCACCAACAGGAGGAGACTGGAAAACAGCCATGACAGGTCGCATAATGGACCAATTAATGAGGCCATCACTAAATAACGCTACACAAATAAGGCATTTGCAGTGTTTCACATGAAGAATTTCAATCAAGGCTTTTTCCAATTTCTGAACAAAATACAGTCACTAAAAGCATCATAAAAGATTTATTTTAACAAGGAGAGTTACCTTGTATTCATTTATTTCACTACTGAGAAGATTGTGAATGAAATCTAGCAGGACATACAATACATAATTATTTTAAATCATTTTTTTGCAATTCCTTATTGTTTCCAAGTTCTGATTGTTAGCTTTGTTTCATTATGAACTGAGATCAAGCTTTGGCTCCCGTATAAAAGCTTTAAAAATTGGCTTTTACAATTGGGATTTTTGTTTTAATTGAATTTATTAACCGTCTTTCTATGAAGAGGAACTCAAGAATAAATAGTGTAATTTTAACAGTGGAGTAGTAGAAATACAACATATTTGTGATGCCAAAAGCTTTGTTTTATAATATGCATATTTACTGTGTTAATATTTTGAGTTAGATATCAAAGGTTTTACTATCTTTTAGGATACAGTCCACTGAAAAAGTAATTAACTCTTCACAGATTTCTTCTGATTTTATTTTCATGCTTAATGGTCCTGTTTAAACATAATTTTATAAGACAATGGCAACCCTAGTAAATACAAAATACCATGTCATTTAAGGGAAAAGTTTTCCAACTTAATCTGGCCCTGTGTGAAAAAGTAATTGCCCCTTAAATGTAAGACATAGACATACCACCTTTGGCAATACAGACCACACAGTATTTTACGTCACTGTTGAAGAGTATTGACCCACTTGTCTTTGCAGAATTGTTTAAACTCGGCCATATTGGAGGGTAATTTTGGTAGCCCATCCTCTTCTGGCAACATTTCTAAATGTTTTCTCCATTTGCTCTCACTGGGCTTTACTTGACTCCCAAAGACTTAGTAATGGCTCTGTAACTATTTCCAGACTGATAAATGTCAGTGCCCTTGATTCTCATCTGCTCTTGATTTATTTGTTCGCTTTATTTTATTTTTTTTGATAGGGCAAGGTGTGTTGCTCGTTTGATATTTTTCTTTTGTGTGCACAGCAACTTCATGTTTCGTTTAATATCTTGGTTGCACAGCTCTGGCAAAAATCATCCTTGAGTGGCCTGACTGCAGAAATTAAAACCAACAGATACAATTAATCACAGCTAATTTTTAATTTAACAAAGATGGAAATTGTTCACAAAATGACCACATCGGTTTAGTAACTTAATAGATTAATTTTGTTTTTACTTATGTTTGACAATCTGAAATACTTGGTTATGACAGAAAAAAAACGTTAAAGGAGGGGAGACTTTTTAACGTGTCCCACACAAACATGGTGTTTATCCCACATTTTATTGATCTGGTCTTTCTAATCAACAAACTTTCAGCATGTGTTAAATTGCAAATTCTTCTGACAAAGTTTCATGGTGCATTTTAACAAGTGCTTTAAATGATTAGAATTATTTCTACCACCACTTCCTTAAAATATACAAAAAGGGTACGCGTGTTAAAATAGCATGGTTAATCCATTGTGGTGTTCTGTTCTAAACCAGTTTTTCGTCTTTGTGCAACTCATTCTCTGCTTAACGCTGAAAAAAAATTTCCAGAAGAGAAACCGTGATCTCTCTGGGTCAGGGCAACTGGTCCCTTCCTGGTTGCACACAACCCGTGTTATGTTGTGCTGCTGCCGCATGCATGTTCACATTACAATCGCATTAACCCTGATATTTAACATTACTACATCTCCGCTGCGTCGGTGTGTTTTTATCTGCTGTCCGGTTCAAGGGGAGGGGAGCTTTCTCCTCAAGCCATGCTAGCCTCTAGCTCACCATCTCCATGTTGAGCCAGAACAAAGAACAGTCGGAGAGCCACTCTCCAGGAACCTCCAACAACTTTGTTGCTGTGAGCCCAGCCAGCAGTAAGTTAGCCAACGCCGCTAGCCGCTAGCTGCAGCGGCTCTGCACAGGGCTTAGCTCCTGCTATAAACCCCCTTTGCTGTGTTTCACCTGGAGCCCACTTTGTTATACTTGCAGTATTTAAAGTGGTGACCATTCTAGTTGCTAAATAAGAAGTAGCATTAGCTCGGCTGCTAACGCGTTTTTTAAGCGAGGACAATTGAAGTTAACCTAACGGTTGTTGTTGTTCGCTAACGTTAACTAACGGCTAAGCTCCCCGAGCGAACCGTTTAAAAACTCCCCGGTGACATTCTCCGCGTAGAGCCGCCTATAGAGACATGGACGCCGGGCCTCGGTTACACTCGTTTTTCTTTTTCTTTTTTTTTGTTTGTTGTTGTTGTTTTGTTTTTTACTACATTTGCATCACCTTTTATTTAGGAAAAAAAAAGCAAAGTAAGATTACCATCGTCAGGATCCATCCATCCGGTTCACTCAGAAAGCTGCGGCGGATTGTTGTCCTCCTCACAGATTGAACAACCCAACTCTCGAAACGAGCCCGGACCCAGCTGCTCTCATTGGACCGGGACTGAGCGGTAGCCCGGATCTTATTGGCCCAGAAGCTGAACAACAGGCGGCAGGATGGGCCGTCCTTCCGTCCACCCACCGAGGCCACATGGAACAATAACCCAAAGCTCGGGCGAAAAGAACGGCTACCTGACTCCGGTTCCCCTCATAATAAACCGTGTGGCCCGGGTGTCAGATGGTTGAAATTAATCTAATAAAATGCAGAGAGCGGAGAGAGGTAATGTAGATTTTAATCTGCGCTGGAGTTGATTTCTCCTAAAGCCCACTGCGAGTGATTGTAGTTGAAGTTGACACAAAAAGTGACACCAGCACAAAGCTGCTGCCTGCAGCAAGAAAAGTTTCCTGTTCTCACAAGAACAGCAACTACTTTAGACGATCAGTAGTTTATCCCACAGACTGCCTTTTACAGAAGCATTCATGCTCTTTTTATTTTTTTTTAATATATTTTTTAGTTTTTGTCACGCTATAATTTAATCTTAGTATAAATAAAGCTGCCTTACAGGTTAACTATACAGGTCTTAGGTTATAAAATACAAAGTTTGAACATTTTAAAGTGATGGTCAAAGAGTATGGCATAATTACAAATTTAAAAAGACAGAGTATTGTCCATCGAACGAAACTGACAAAATAAGAGCATTAATAAGAGATTTAAACTTGCTGTTCTGTCGTTGCCCGTTAATGCTGACTGAAGAACAGCTAGTTTGTATAGAAAAACTGATCATTTTTGTCTCTAGATGTGCAAAGGTAATAAAGAAATTGCAAACTATTCTTCTCCTTTGTTTACACAGTTGTGTATTGGTTTATTTTTATCTATTTGGCGCAGTTGGTAGAGCTCTTTCCCGGTCCCGGTCTTTCTGCATGGAGTTTGCATGTTCTCCCTGTGCATGCATGGGTTTTCTCCGGTTTCCTCCCACAGTCCAAAAACATGTCAGGTTAATTGGCCTCTCCAAATTGCCCCTAGGTGTGAGTGTGTGTGTGCATGGTTGTTTGTCTCTGTGTTGCCCTACGACAGACTGGCGACCTGTCCAGGGTGACCCCGCCTCTCACCCGGAACGTTAGCTGGAGATGGGCACCAGCAACCCTCCCGACCCCACTAAGGGACAAGGGTGTAAAGAAAATGGATGGATGAATGAAACACCAATAAAATAAATTTAGCTTTTAGACTAACATAAAGAATAAGAACAGATAACAGTGGTATAAATACTTGTGCGAGGGTGGTGTACACAATCACAGCAAACAGATTTGAATCACTAAAATATTCTGTCCCTCTGGGGAAATTTAAGAAAGTCCATCCTATTTTTGTTCCAGTTTCAAATTATTTTAACCAGCTTATTTACTTCACTGTACAAAAACACAGATGCCACCATTACATGCACATGTTGAACAATTCTTTAAATTATCATACTCAGTTACACATTTCTTTTAATGTGCAGTTTTAATTAATACACATTATTTTTCTTTTTTAAATTTACAACATATCTTTTACCTTTCTGTGAATATGCATTCTTCCTTTTACCTTCAACTTGCTGCTGGTAAACCTAAATTTTCCTACTGAATGACAAGGGATATCCGTTCTTTTGAATTCTGTCATTGTTTATGTTGAAATTAAATAGTAGAAAACAATGTTTTAATCAAAACTACATTTGTAAAAAATATAATACTGTCATAGATCTGTACTTAAAGTAATTTACCATCTATTCATCTATTTTTAAACCTATAATTACCCCTAATTTATTATCAGTTTCAGTCTTTCTAGAAGATCGCTCAAATGTGACCAACCATTAAGGTTTTTGAAGTTTCATTATAGTAATATTGTCTCTGCTTTGTTATAGTAATTAAAAAAAACAAAACGCCCAAATTATTTATATTGCTTGTATAAAAATATAAAGACTTTTTCTATCATATTATGAAGAACCTTGCTTGTATATCAGTATTTAATACACTCATCTTTCATCAGGATGTTGAAAAATGAACATAAAAGTAAAAACATAGACTCTAGATACTTTTTAATATTAAGTGTTTTTTTAAATTATTTTATTACAAAAGGCTTTCAGCAAGTTAGGGAGATTAATGCACAGTTGAAGCTACAGCTAAATGAACAGCAGGCTTGCAACAACTCTTAAGCCGTCAGACTGATCCATGGGACCAGAACAAACATATGAACACAGTAATAAAAATAAAAAATCCTATGCTGCAGACTCAACGCACATTGCTTGCAGGGATCTGTAATTTACGAAGTTTGTTGAACAGCTCCAGGTACTGAGTCATGGTGTCAACACAGTCCGCCGGAGCGAAGAGACCCTCAGGTTTGGCAGCAAACACGGTTGGAAGTTCTGGAACGTTGTTGCCAAGAAAGGACTGCATGAACTCCCTCATGAGGTTCCAGCAGTCCCCTGGTACCACACAGGGACAATATTCTACCTGTGAGAAACAAACCCACAGTTAAAACTGACAGACTGAGAAGGTGCAGCTCTTCTCTTGCTTCTAATATCAAACCGTGGCCACACCTCCACAGATATCCCCCTGGCGCTGGAGCTCATTGTGACAGCGCCGACTTTGATCAAGAAGTCACAGTAGCGATATCTTGAGCCACGGCACTCCACTTTGTGTCCCTTGGCGTTCTGGAAATGACTTTTCAGCTTCACCATGAGGACGTCAAAGTTTGCGTCTGCTGTCAGGCAGGGTCCTCCCTCAAACAGAGCCATGCAGCTCAGGGGAACCTCAGAGTTGTGCATCACATATAAGAGTTTGGAGGGCTGACCTGGAACAGGAAGGCAACACTGACTTTATAGAAATGCAGAAAGCTTTGCAAAGTTAAGCAACAGAGTCACTTTGGTGAGAATTGTAGGTTTTTACATTTTAAGATTAAGTCAAAGCACTATTGAGTATTGTAATCTGAAAAAGAGCTATTCAAATTAACTTCAACTTAAATGAAAAAAACTAGTGCCATTCATTTAAACTTAACTTGACTAACAACATGAAGTAGGCTAAAATATATTAAAACGTATCACATTATGCAGAGGTTTACATATACAATAAAAACTAATATATTTATGGCATTGTTTTTCAGTCCTGCTCTTCAATGCCCACTGCCCAGCATGTTAGATATTTTCCTACTGATTTTTTCCACCTGATTTAAAGGTGACATCATGGAAAATTACTTTTGGGGACAATTTCAAGAGGCTTGAAAGTTTTATGTTCTTCTGTTCAGACAATTATATGCAAATATAAAGTTCACCCAAAGCAGTAAAGATCAACAATAGGCTTTGGACTGCACTTTAAACATACATTTGCTGTATGTAGTGTATTTTGTATGCATTTTCATATTATTTTCTCTATTGTAATTTAATATGCCACTATTAAGAAGTGCCAAACTGTTTCCTTCATTGTTCTTATAACAGTGTCCATAAAGATGAATGATTTCATATAAACAGCAAGGGAAAGTCTGGAGTGTCATACACAATGAATCAAATCCCGTACCACATATTACAGTTCAGTACACTCAGAGAGACAAAGACTTTAATTTGTGGTCTGACATCATTACAATGTGAGTTTTGTCACATTAGGAGGAAAAAGGGGTTAGCTCATCAGCTCAACTGTGAAGTGTGAAAGTGGCAACATCATCTTATTTGGGAGTTTGCGGCAGGAGGGACTGGTGCACCTAAAATACATTGAATCATCAGGAACGAACATAACGCAGGAATATTGGAGCAACATCTCAAGATACCAGGAAGTTAAAGCTTTGGAACAAATGGGTTCTTCAAATGGACGACGACACAAGGCATAAACCTTTCCGTCACAAAGGTGAGGTAGATTGCTGAACCTTACCGCCTGTATTTCCTGTAGACTGGTAAGTCTCACAGTCCACACAGAAGCTGCCCTGCTTCACAGCACCCAGCTGCTCCAGTTTCTTATGCAGGATGTCCACTGTCTGCTGCACACTCTTTCCCTCCGCCACAGGAACCGGACACACACTGCAGTAAATACAGCACCACAGTCAGAGGATGTTTACGGGGAAGTAGTGGGATGCCAGGCAGGGTCTAGTTCTGTTACCAGACATCCCATATTATTTATCTAGTGTTGATTCACCAAAGCGAAACAACAAAACAGACATAATAAATGATAATAAATGTGCGAAGTCACAGATTAAACCATATAAAGAATAAACATAGGTATTACCATCAACTATGAACTCACCAAGTTACTCCCATTGATATTTTTCGTTTTCTCCTCCTGCCTTGTCGTTTCGCTTTGAGTACTTCCGGGTCATTAACGATCCAATAATTATTATGTAGCTAAATTAGCGTCTGTTTTTTTAAAAAATTAAACAATAATATATATGTTAATTACATCAGATAAACTAAGTGGGCATTCTTGCATTATAGTAATTATTCGATACGTTTTTTAAAATTGTTTTTACTAAACTGGATGTTGTACGTCGTGAATTATGTCACTTCCTTTGAGGTCGACTTCCACACGTGTTGAGCTTCAGACTGTTTACACTGTTTGCCAAACGTGTGCGTGTACTTTTAGTTACCAATGCTAACATATAACACTTATATTATTGTGTCAGCCTGAGCTAAGAAGCAGTGATGCCCAAAGTAAAGAGATCCAAAGGAGGAGGAGAGAAGAGCGGCGGCGGAGCGGCCGAGGCGGTGGCGCTGGCCGACCAGATCCTGCAGGCGGACACGATCCGAGCCCGAGGCCGGGTGAAGGGGCGAGACGTCCGCTCAGAAAACGACGATCAGTACGTAGATGATCGATTGTCGAGGAAGATCTTACAGCAGGCCCGGATTCAACAGGAAGAGCTGCAGACTGAATATGGACTGGCCCCGGAGAAGAAAAAGACACCAGTCACTGTTCTCGGTAAGTGTGGAGAGGTTTAAGCTTTATTTTAATAGCTGGCTGGCTCTTCTTTAAAAACTTAAACAACATAGAAAATAATAAGCCGGTTTTACTGAATGAAGA